TTATTATGGACCACTAATATTAGAGATAATATGATTGTTTTATTAATAAAAAAAAAGTCACTATATTAAAATAAAAGTTATTATGTTGAAATAAAAGTTAGTGTGACATTATAAAAGCTTTAAGAGCTTAATTTTTTAATGAAATTTTTAATATAATGATCAATATGAATAATAAATATCACTATGTTAAAATTAGGTCACTATTCAACATAATGTTGTACTTTGAGTTCATAATAACATTAGGGTCACACAAGTTTTAAAAAAGGAAACTATTAAAAATAAGGTTACTATAATAAAATTTGGAGTCACTATATTGAATATAATGTCAGTTATGTGTGTATAAACCTTAGGTCCATAATAATATTATTGTAGAGCAGGTCTACATAAGATTTTTTGTATAAATATATAACATATTAGGAAAATTTGCCAATTGCAGCCATTTAAAGTTTATATTTTGCAAATTGTAGCCATTTAAAAAAATTGCAAAATGCAGCCTAAAAGTTCTTATAAATTGTAAATTACAGCCCGATTCAACTTTTTCATTGGTTTACGTTTGAAGAATATTTGATTAATGTTTTAGGGACCATTTTAGTTCTTAAGGTACCGGATTGAGCTCGAAATTAGCGAAAAAAATATTGTAAGTGCCTCGTTTTGCGGAAAAAATATATCGATTTGTGGGCAACTATTTTTTGATATAAAAACGAGGCACTTACGTTATTTTTTTGCTGATGATGAGCTCATTTCGGAATTTTTAGGGGTAAAATGGCCCCCTTAAACCTTAACCGAATATTTTTCGACACGTAAACGATGTAAAAATGGAATTGAGCTGCAATTTACAATTTATAAGAATTTTTGGGTTGCAATTTGCAATTTATTTTTTAAAAAAATGTAATTTGCAAAGTACTAACTTTAGATGGCTGCAATTAGCAAATTTTCCAACATATTATAATAATTTTAACATTTGTCTAATAGGTAAGTAGAACTAGATGGACAAAATTTAATAAATTTGACCCATTAATATTAACTGAGTAAAATATGAAGTACGGAGTAGCAAATATCGGGAAGTATAAAAAAATAGGTTGAGGTCCAGGAATATATTTTATACTCTATCATTCCCCCTCATATGAAAGACCCTTTGGGCTTGAAATGTGGATGCAACATAGACCCACCCATACCTAGCGCGAATTAATTCCACTTTGAAGGAGGGGTGGATGAGATTTGAACCCGTGACCTCTATGTCACGTTGGATCCAATACCATATTAAAGGATCATCTCAACAAAAAGTTTAAACTAATGGTTGAGGCCCAGGATATGTATTTTACTCTATCATGGAGCATGGTGACTGAAGGAAAGTTGGGATATATGTAGGTAATGTAGCTAGGAATAACTGAATAAGGTGGGAATCGTATGGGGTGGTTGGATGTACAAATGAGCTGCAAATAACAGTCAACAATAAATAAAAGTCAAAAACTTCATTAGCAAGGTCCCGTTCCCTTCACCTTATTTTTACCGAACTAAAATTATTTTTACTGAAACCACATTATATTTGCTGAACTTAAATTAATTTTACTGAACTGAAATGATTTTGTTGAACTGAAATTATTTTTTACTGATTTTCTATTATAACTTTTCTTTAAAAAAAACTGAATTTTATTGAACTGAACTTATTTTTAAACTGAAATTAGTTTTACTGAATTGAAATTGATTTTAGGAAAATTTGACTTTTGCTACCTATTAAACACGTCGATTTCATTTTTGCTACCTATGAAAACTTTTATTTTATTTTACTACCTAACATATATGTCCTTTTTTTAACTTTTGCTACCAGTTAACGCCTTCAGTTAATAATTCCGTTAGTAAGTTTCAACCACCCTCATTACCACCTTCCGACCACCACTACCTCCTTAGCCACCCTAAATGCCTCCCCGCCGTCAACCACCCAAAAAAAAAAAAAAAAAAAAAAAAAAAAAAAAAAAAAAAAACCATCCACCAAGACCAGCCCTCCTGTAGTCCCGTTAGCCACCCAACCCCCTCCTCCCTATCGGCAGCCGGCGCCGGCGACCCCATCTCACTCCCTTTCCCCTACCAACGCAACTCATCCCCCTCCCTTTTCCTCTTCTTGCTGCCCCGACCCCAACCACCACACCGAAACCACAATCGCCAAACAACGAAATGATTTGCCTCCTTCAATCTAGATTTTCTTCTTCAATCAATCAATTCAATCATGAATTCTGGGTTCGCGATTGCGATTGTGCGTTTCTGAGGTTGATTCAATCTCAATCCAAATGAGTAATAATCATAGTAATGGAAGTAATAATTAGCCGAAATCGAAGAAACCCAGTGAAGAATCTGCGAAATAATCAACTAGGTCGAAGAATTTTTTTCAAGAATTCTATTTTTAAGTTCATTTGTAAGCCGATTAGTCTGCTGTAACAAGCGATTTTAAGCAAGAAGATGGCTAAAAATGGAGGTGGGGTTGATATTATGAAATGGGTTGGAAATACTTTGAAGAATTTCCAGGATATTCAGTTTATTAAGCTCTGAGGTTGAAGAAGAAGCTCCTTTTACTGCGAATGATGATGATGTTGACTGGAGAACCGAGCTTGAAACCGGAGTGGCGATTGTGGGTTCGCCGGATCGAAGAAACGCCGAGAGGACAGAGATTGGTGTGTGGCGATTGTGGTTTTGGTGTGGTGGTTGGGGTTGGGGCAACAAGAAAGGGGAAAAGAAGGGGCTGGGTTGCGGTGGTGGGGAAAGGGTGTGGAAGAGGGTCGTCGGCGCCGGCTGCAGCTTTGTGTGCCGGTCGTCGGTAGGGGGGAGGAGGGAGGGTGGCTGAGTGGCTGACGGGAGGGCTGGGTATTTGGGTTTTTTTTTTTTTTTTTTTTTTTTAAATAAATTTAACGGAACCCTAACGGATAAAAGTTTTTAAAAAGGCATTTGTTAGGTTGTAACATATAATAAAAGTTTTCATAAGTAGCAAAAATGAAATCGATGTGTTTGATAGGTAGCAAAAGTCAAAAATTCCTTAATTTTACTGAATTGAAATTAATTTTACTAAATTGAACTTATTTTACTTAATATTACTTTTTTAAGGTGAAGTGAATAGGCCCCAAGTTTTATTCAAAAAAAAAAGGCCCCAAGTTAGTTTTATTACACCATTTGATTTCATTTTGGTTGTACATGCATGTTACGATTGTCGAAAAACTTCATTCTTTGTTAAAAATGAAATTTAATTGTATATTATTGTAATAAAGTTATAATTGAATACCAATAATGTACTCACTTTATAAATCTAACAAAACCCTAAAAAACTTTTAAAAATTCTATCTAATTGTGATTTTTTTTTTTTTGGAAATAAATCTAATTGTGAATTTTGTCTATATTGCATATAAGAAAAACAAATAGGAAAGAATTTTTTTTGTTAACAAAAAGGAATGAATGGTTTTCTTTACTTTAAAGCATCATGGAATCAGTATAGGACCGTTTAAATGGATGACATGGACCTATACCAAAAAGGAATTGAACATTTCAAAACAATATATCAAACCATAATAATAAAATAAAAAATCCAATATATATTTTCTCTCATCTTTAAGAAACTAGAAAATTGGTATGAATCATTATACCTATTGATGAGTAAAAAAAAATGTGTATATGTGTATGTAATACCCTAGATTTCAATGATACTATTATGCTTTACTACAATAAATAAACTACTTGTATAATGCTATATAATAATAGTGTATGGGATGTTTTTGACTATCGGTAACTATAGCTCACTACCAGGTATGTGCTCATAGTTGTATATACTACAATATAATTTTTTTCCTTTCCTCTTCATCTTCTTCCTCCCTTAAACCCTTTCCCCATTTCCGGTCAAACCTCCGTCCACCACACCTCCACCTTCGACAGCAAGGAACCCACCCCACCAGCCATCACCTTGGTTGAAACCTAGAAACATGCAACCACCTCCGTTAAAAAATCACCGTAAACCACCCAAAAAACATAACCCAAAAATAGAAGAGTGAGCCATGCTATGGAGTATTTTCATGGTCTTCAAACATAGACAAGTTCCTTGTCGACTTATGGCTCTAGCCATTAAAAAAGGTGAGTTCCCATGCTGGAAATTGTCAGAGTTCGGTCCAAATTGACGACATTAAATGTCTATCGGTGCTCAGTTATTATTAATTTGTATACTGTTATTCTTGATTTGTATAATGTTATTATAGTGTTGAATATTGTTATAAAGAGGAGAGAGACTACTTTTTTACAAAATGATAAGTAATATGCGAAATTACATTTTTGCCCCCGATATGGGCCCAATGAGCCCATACCTAATAGTGGTCTATCACTACTCATCGACATGGGCCAGATGATTCCATTTGGACTATGTCACTAATTGGTCAAAGACTCAATATGATTCCATATCGACCTACGTCTATCATCCATGTAGAGAGATGCTTGCAACCATATAGATACTTACCGTAGATTTGACAAGACCTCCCCATGGCCCAGTAAATTACAATCAATAAAGCATATAAAATCAGCTAATCAAGTAAGTACTCCATACTTGGTATCATATTGAAATTCATTTATGAATTTAGCCATTTTTACACATTTGAATAAGTTTTAAATAATTAAAAATACTTGAATACAGTAGTAGTTAATTAGACTAGCCTTAATGTTCATTGGAGAACCAATAATTGAGGTGTGCCATGTAGAAAATTTAATTTGTTTGACTAAGATGCATATATCATATGGAATGTATTTTACTTTTAAAATTTCCAACTAAAATAAAATATTTGCACAACAAAACGTGTTATGAGATAACTTTAAAATTCATTCCAAAGAGCATAGAATAACTTTTTGTTAAAAAACTTATTTATGAAATAAGGATGATAAGCTCCAATCTATCTATCGCAAAGAATAGAATTTATAGTGTGTCCCACACAACTATATAATTAAAAAAAAACCCGAATATTTCTTGATCTTCTCCTACTATATAATGGTGGGCAAGTATGGCATTGTAATTTGCAAGTCACACAGATTTAATATATACAAGAGGGTGATACTTCTTTTAAGGTAAGTAACTATAATTTTAGGGCTTGTTCACATTTAATTAATTTCAGTTCAGTCAGTTCAGCTCCAATTAATTCAGGTTCAGTTCAGTTCAGCTCATAATTCCCCTCTCTAATAAAAAATTCATTTCATCTCAGTTGAGTTCAGTTCAGTTCATTAAATGTAACAGGCCCTTAGTTATATTAAGCTTTGTTCTTCAATTCATCCATTTGTCACTAACATATATATGTAACGTTAAAATACTTTATCATCATTTTAATTGATATACTTGGTAAATCAATAAATTGTTGATACTAATTCCTCTGTTTTTTTTAGTTGACACTTTTCTATTATCACACTTGCCACGCATGTTTTTAACGATTGATATTTCTAATTATCAACATTGTAAAATTATAAAAAGTGCATATTAATAATATATACATTGAAACGATTCAATTCAAACAAGATCCCACATGAATATGTTTTATCGTATTTATAAACCACAAAAGCGCGTCAAAACGTGTTGTGTGAATAGTATAAAAGTCAAACGGTGTCAGCTAAAAAAAGCAAAAGAAGTATTCTATACCAAAAATAAAGTAATATAATTAATTATTAGGAGATAAAATGTCAATTATGAACTGCATAATCAATAAAATATTATGGTAATTATATTTCAAACGACTGATGTAACATTTTTGTTTAAAAATACTTTATCATCATTTTGATTGAATGATTGATATGCTTGGTAATTTATTGTGGCTTAATTTGGAGGAGAATATGGGGATGGAGATGAAAATGTTAGGTGGGGATGGGGGTGGGGAGGTCACTTTTGCCCCGCTCCATTGACATCCCTAACTATAATTATATTTCAAACGACTATTGTAAAATTTTCATGTAAAAGTACTTTATCATTATTTTAATTGATATGCTTGGTACTCGTAATTTATTGTGGCTTAATTTGCAGGGGAATATAACTGAAAAGATGGCCAACATTCAAGAATATGCAGCAGTGAAGGTGATGTTCAGTAACAATGTCCAAGCTACGTTGAGTGTTAAGCTGATCAATGGAGATGGAGAAGACCCTGCAGACGTTTACGGAAATATAAATGGCCGATTTGGAATTGGCAGTCAATTTTCACTTTTTAATAAGCAGCAAAGTCAGCGTATTGAAGTAAGGCCTGGTGAATTCATTCCCTTGAGTAGGTCCGATGTCAATGTGCCTGAAGAAGCCAGGGAAATGGAGATTGAAGCTTACTTGATGGACTATGATTCTGTTTCTCCCGACGATGAAATTGCAAATGGCAAAGCCGTCTTTCTAGTCAAGGCTTCTGGTGAAAGTGATAAGAAGACCATTACCGGAAAGTATGGCTCCATTGAAGTCAATGTACAGCAAGTCAGCAACGACAATGAGAACGGTGGAGTGGTGGGTGGTGGCTGAGGACGAACAGCGGCAATTGAATGAGGCAGAGGCAGCGACAACAGTGACTGAGTGACACCAAGCGTGGAGCAACGACGACAGTGGAGCAACGACGACAGTGGAGCAACGACGACAGCTGACTGTGTTGATGCGAACGGTGGAGTGGTGGGTGGTGGGTGGAGCAACGACGACAGTGACTGAGTGATGACAATGGTGATGACTGATTTCGCGTGAGGCAGAGAGGAAGATGAGAAATTGAGAAGTGGAAATAGGCAGGGAGGCAGAGAGGCAAAGCAGAGAGCAAGACTTTAGGTTATTTCCCGTGTCATACCAAAACGGCCCGTGTCTAAGGGTGACACGGCCCGTGTCCAAAAATCAAAAACGTCAAAAATAAACCGAACACGGTTTTTGGAGTGTCCGAGACGTTTTGCCCCGTGTCCCACGCGTGTCCGTGTCCGACACGCATGTCGACTCGGACACGCCTGAACTTACGAGTGTCCGTGCTTCGTTGTCTGGGTCAAGTCAACTCTTGATAGGTTCATAATAAGTTCGCATAAATTCATATTGGGCTCAAAACGGGTTTGATTGGGTTAATTTAAAGTCATATGACTTTGGGTCAAGTTAATTTTGGTTCGGTTAGATTCGGTTCGATTAAATTCGGTTAAGTTGAAATTAGGATATGGTTGATTCAGTATTGTACTGTGTCAATTCCAATTCAAATCCTATTCAAGTTTCACTGAATTTGGTTCAGGTTGATCAAATTCAATATTCAAATTAGATCATTATTAAACTAGATTAATTATTCAGTTTTACTTTATTATTGAGTCATTAACATGTCACATGTGTCATTAACACTTACAAATTATTCATTAGTTTTCTCATCGATCATTAGATCAATTCTTAAGTCATTTATCTTCAAGTCAAATTAAAATTGAATTATCAATGACTTATATCATACGTACATAGTGATATGACTACGGTAAATAATGAACATATATGATAGCCACATATTGATTAAATTGACCTTGAGTATATTAAAACATCAAATTAGTTAAATTGAATTAATAAACTTCATATATTTTATGTACTTGCATTTCAAATTAAAAATCGTATACTCACTACTCTCAGGCTCTCAGCCCACGCACCATTTCAAAATGAAGTTTATAACGATTAATGAAACAAACAATTTCATGAATTGAAGTAATTATGTTTAAGAAAAAAAAAAATAGGAAAACCAAAATAATAAGTTGGGTTGAGAATTATGTTTGTTTGAGATCATGTTAAATTAAAATCATTTTAGATCAAAACAAATTAGATTGAATCGAGTATTTTTTTGGGTGAATTTCAGGTTAGGTTGAGTCAGGTTAGGTTAAACCAGTTCATTTTGAGTTCAAGTTGGGTTAAGTTTAGGTCGGGTCAAATCGGTGCCACATTATTTTTATATCAGGTGAAATTTGGATTAGTTTAGGGCGTTATAGATCTGGTTTGAATCATGAATTTCTCAGGTTAAACTAGGTCGGTTACAGGTGGGGTTTGAGTCATGAATTTCTCAGTTCAAATCGAATAGGCACAATCTAATTACAACAACAAGCACAATCTAACATAGCATATGCATAACACAAAACTAGCTAGCAACTATAGGCGGGATATAAGCCTACGTTAATTCCTCTTAACTTTTGCTGGGTAGGAAAAGGAGGCCTCAAGAGTCAAGACCACAAATTCTAACCAAGCTTGACTTTTATAGGCTTTTAACAAGATAACCTTCTTTAATTCTCTAACATGCAAGAAATTAACTAACCTATCTCTTACCTCCTATTTGTAGATGATATCCTCTTTTTTAGGAAGTTATGTGATATACTTCTACACTCAACCTTGTCTTGCTTGTTCTGACCCCTGTGTGAAACTTATCCACCCCCGCATGCATTACCTCTTAGTTCTTTATCCTAGTAGATGCTTCCTTCTATCAACACACCTTTGATGTGTGTATTGGAGGCATATGATACATTTATTTTAAGGAGTAGAAAGGGGTTTCCCTTAAAAAATCAAGGTTGAGGATGCTAACTTTGCTGAATTCTTGATTGTTTTGATTGTCGTAATGTCGTTGCTTGGTTTAAGTATTATTAAAAGGACGATGTGAACATATGTTCTGACTCTAAAACTGCTATGACTAGCAAAACTGATGTGCAAAAAATTAAAGATAAATACTTGACTATTTCAAATGTTTACAGGGAGTTTATTCAAAAGACAAGGGTGCAAAATGTTTAGTGTCTTCCAATAAACCAGGTGCCTCAAGCGCATCTTCTGACGCACCAAGGTGCATGGTGGGCATGATGTGCTCTGGAATTTAGTTGTCAACCCCTTTATTAATAGCTCAAGTACTTTAAGCCCCTGCGTGAGTGTGCTTAAGAACTTAAATATGAAACTTCTATCTGTAAACAAATCAATTCATTAATAAAAAGTCATCCGCCATCTACAAATGAAATCTAAATTAACAAATACATAAAATTGAATCAAATTAGGTTTTCCTTCGTCAGAGCTACGATTGGTGGGACTATGGGTGGAATAATGATAGGCTCCATTTTATCGCAAAAGAATTATTTATAGAAGAGTCCCACAACTATATAAAAAAATAAACAATCGAATATTTCCTTTTTTAGATCTTCGATCTCCTACTATATAATGGTGGGCAGTATGGCATTGTAATTTGCAAGTCACACAGATTAAATATATACAAGAGGGTGATACTTCTTCTAGGGTAAATGCCTATAATCTTAGTTAAGCTTTGTTCTTCAATTCATCCATTTGTCACTAACATATATATGTAACGTTAAAATACTTTATCATCATTTTAATTGATATACTTGGTAAATTAATAAATTGTTATTTTATACCAAAAATGAAGTAATATAATTAATTAATTGGAAATAAAATGTCAATTATGAACTACATCACCAATAAAACACTATGGTAATCATATTTCAAACGACTATTGTAAAATTTTCATTTTAAAATACTCTATCATCATTTTTCTTTATATGCATGGTGATTTATTGTGGCTTAATTTGTAGGAGAATATATCTGAAAAGATGGCCAACATTCAAGAATATGCAGCTGTGAAGGTGATGTTTAGCAACAATGTCCAAGCTACGTTGAGTGTTAAGCTGATCAATGGAGATGGAGAAGACCCTGCAGACGTTTACGGAAATATAAATGGCCGATTTGGAATTGGCAGTCAATTTTCACTTTTTAATAAGCAGCAAAGTCAGCGTATTGAAGTAAGGCCTGGTGAATTCATTCCCTTGAGTAGGTCCGATGTCAATGTGCCTGAAGAAGCCAGGGAAATGGAGATTGAAGCTTACTTGATGGACTATGATTCTGTTTCTCCCGACGATGAAATTGCAAATGGCAAAGCCGTCTTTCTAGTCAAGGCTTCTGGTGAAAGTGATAAGAAGACCATTACCGGAAAGTATGGCTCCATTGAAGTCAATGTACAGCAAGTCAGCAACGACAATGAGAACGGTGGAGTGGTGGGTGGTGGCTGAGGACGAACAGCGGCAATTGAATGAGGCAGAGGCAGCGACAACAGTGACTGAGTGACACCAAGCGTGGAGCAACGACGACAGTGGAGCAACGACGACAGTGGAGCAACGACGACAGCTGACTGTGTTGATGCGAACGGTGGAGTGGTGGGTGGTGGGTGGAGCAACGACGACAGTGACTGAGTGATGACAATGGTGATGACTGATTTCGCGTGAGGCAGAGAGGAAGATGAGAAATTGAGAAGTGGAAATAGGCAGGGAGGCAGAGAGGCAAAGCAGAGAGCAAGACTTTAGGTTATTTCCCGTGTCATACCAAAACGGCCCGTGTCTAAGGGTGACACGGCCCGTGTCCAAAAATCAAAAACGTCAAAAATAAACCGAACACGGTTTTTGGAGTGTCCGAGACGTTTTGCCCCGTGTCCCACGCGTGTCCGTGTCCGACACGCATGTCGACTCGGACACGCCTGAACTTACGAGTGTCCGTGCTTCGTTGTCTGGGTCAAGTCAACTCTTGATAGGTTCATAATAAGTTCGCATAAATTCATATTGGGCTCAAAACGGGTTTGATTGGGTTAATTTAAAGTCATATGACTTTGGGTCAAGTTAATTTTGGTTCGGTTAGATTCGGTTCGATTAAATTCGGTTAAGTTGAAATTAGGATATGGTTGATTCAGTATTGTACTGTGTCAATTCCAATTCAAATCCTATTCAAGTTTCACTGAATTTGGTTCAGGTTGATCAAATTCAATATTCAAATTAGATCATTATTAAACTAGATTAATTATTCAGTTTTACTTTATTATTGAGTCATTAACATGTCACATGTGTCATTAACACTTACAAATTATTCATTAGTTTTCTCATCGATCATTAGATCAATTCTTAAGTCATTTATCTTCAAGTCAAATTAAAATTGAATTATCAATGACTTATATCATACGTACATAGTGATATGACTACGGTAAATAATGAACATATATGATAGCCACATATTGATTAAATTGACCTTGAGTATATTAAAACATCAAATTAGTTAAATTGAATTAATAAACTTCATATATTTTATGTACTTGCATTTCAAATTAAAAATCGTATACTCACTACTCTCAGGCTCTCAGCCCACGCACCATTTCAAAATGAAGTTTATAACGATTAATGAAACAAACAATTTCATGAATTGAAGTAATTATGTTTAAGAAAAAAAAAAAATAGGAAAACCAAAATAATAAGTTGGGTTGAGAATTATGTTTGTTTGAGATCATGTTAAATTAAAATCATTTTAGATCAAAACAAATTAGATTGAATCGAGTATTTTTTTGGGTGAATTTCAGGTTAGGTTGAGTCAGGTTAGGTTAAACCAGTTCATTTTGAGTTCAAGTTGGGTTAAGTTTAGGTCGGGTCAAATCGGTGCCACATTATTTTTATATCAGGTGAAATTTGGATTAGTTTAGGGCGTTATAGATCTGGTTTGAATCATGAATTTCTCAGGTTAAACTAGGTCGGTTACAGGTGGGGTTTGAGTCATGAATTTCTCAGTTCAAATCGAATAGGCACAATCTAATTACAACAACAAGCACAATCTAACATAGCATATGCATAACACAAAACTAGCTAGCAACTATAGGCGGGATATAAGCCTACGTTAATTCCTCTTAACTTTTGCTGGGTAGGAAAAGGAGGCCTCAAGAGTCAAGACCACAAATTCTAACCAAGCTTGACTTTTATAGGCTTTTAACAAGATAACCTTCTTTAATTCTCTAACATGCAAGAAATTAACTAACCTATCTCTTACCTCCTATTTGTAGATGATATCCTCTTTTTTAGGAAGTTATGTGATATACTTCTACACTCAACCTTGTCTTGCTTGTTCTGACCCCTGTGTGAAACTTATCCACCCCCGCATGCATTACCTCTTAGTTCTTTATCCTAGTAGATGCTTCCTTCTATCAACACACCTTTGATGTGTGTATTGGAGGCATATGATACATTTATTTTAAGGAGTAGAAAGGGGTTTCCCTTAAAAAATCAAGGTTGAGGATGCTAACTTTGCTGAATTCTTGATTGTTTTGATTGTCGTAATGTCGTTGCTTGGTTTAAGTATTATTAAAAGGACGATGTGAACATATGTTCTGACTCTAAAACTGCTATGACTAGCAAAACTGATGTGCAAAAAATTAAAGATAAATACTTGACTATTTCAAATGTTTACAGGGAGTTTATTCA